TAGCCAATCCTAAACTATTTCTCCTAACCTTTCCCTCGGAAGACCCAAGACGTGCTGTGGCCTGTGCTGTCCCCTCTCTTCTTTCTGCCTTTTGACCAACTCCAGTGCTCACTCACGTGGCCCTGCCTGGCGGGCCATGCCCCTTGTTTCGGGGGGAACTGTAAGGAACACTGAACTTTTCTTTCAATGGCATTGGCCTCGCCCTGTCACCATTCAGTCACCTCTGTAAATTAAAATCCACGGGTACAGCCCTGACTGGTGTGGCTCAGTTGGTTGGGCATCATCTGGCAAAGCGAGAGGTCCCGGTTCCATTCCCAATCAGGGCACATGCCTGGGTTGTGAGTTCCGCCCAGGTCAGGGTGCCTACGAGAGGCAACCGATCTATGTTTCTCTCTCTTTTTTTCTCCCTCCCTTCCCTTCTCTCTAAAAAATAAATAAGTACATTGTTTTAAAAATTCATGGGTATAATTAGAGCGAGGACAGCTGCCTGAAACGAGCTAGTGAGATCCCGTCTTCCGCTGATGGCATAACTGAGTCTTCGACCAGCAGACCACTGCTCGCGCAAGCCTGCTGCCCCAGGGGCAGGCTTCTGGCGAGGCCAGTGACGCCCATGGCCGTGGTCCCAGTCCCGTTACTTCTTTTGTAACCAAAAGAGCGATCACACCGGGAAGCAGTCCTGTGGGGCCATGACCATGTTGGCTGAGGCACTGTGGTCGGGGAGGACAGCCATCTCCAGAAGCAGCGGCAGCGGATTCTGCCACTTTCATAATGGAAGGGACCCGATGGCATCACCCTGACAACGAGCGTCCGGCTGATCTCCTGGGGTATATTCTGCTATACGCAGAGCTCGGTGCTGGTCTCTCCTTTGGGACATTACCCATCTATCAGTGACAGTAGTCAGATCAGCCTTGCTGAGGAGAAATTCGTGTTGAGCTCCCCCTGCCTTACTCCCATCCGTTGCCCATGACGACTGTTGTCGTGAGCCTGCCGGACAATGACGGGCACGAATCAGGAAGGGAGATGCTGCCTGTTCCCTGCAGGCGGTGCCCTTTGGTGAGCGCCCACAAGTCAGTTAATGCTGCACTCTGGACCCGTTCCAAGAAGCCAGCTGATACCGGAAGTGAAAGAAGGGTCATCACTGCTGATCCCGTGGACAGGAAAAGGACAGGGAAACATGGACAACTCTGTGCCCACAATCTGATGACTCAAAGGAAATGGACCAATTCTTTGAATGACACAAAGGAAGGCACACCCTGAAGATGCTGCAGGTTGGGCTCGATACCACTGCGATAAAGCGAATGTCACAATAAAGCAAGTCACACCTATGTTTGGGCTTCCCACTGCTGGTTTTCGCAAATAAAGTTTTATTGGAACATAACCATACACATTAATTTACATATTGTCTATGGTTGTTTTTATGCTACAATGACAAAGTTGAGCGGCTGTGACAAACTATGTGTGAGGTTTGCCAAACTCTGCTATGTAATAATCAGAAAATAAAATGGAAAAAAGATCTAATTTGTAATAGAAGCAAACATAATCTAGGAATAAGCTTTAAAATATAACTATTGTTTATGACGAAAACCTCACAAATATACAGATAGACATAAAAGAAGATATAAGTAATTGACATTATGTATCTTTTTAAAAATATATTTTATTGATTATGCTGTTACAGTTGCCCCATTTTCCCCCGCTTTATTCCCCTCCACCCTGCACATCCCCCTCCCACCTGCATTACCCCCCCAGTTCATGTCCATGGGTCATAAATATAAGTTCTTCAGCTTCTACATTTCCTACACTATTCTTAACCTCCCCCTATTTTCTACCTACCATTTATGCTACTTATTCTCTGTACCTTTTCCCCCTCTCTCCCCCTCCCGCTCCCCCGCTGATAACCCTCTATGTGATGTCCATTTCTGTGTTTCTGTTTCTGTTCTAGTTGTTTGTTTAGTTTGTGTGTGTATGTGTGTGTTTACATTTGGTTGTTAATAGCTGTGAGTCATTTCACTGTTCCTATTTTTTATCTTCTTTTTCTTAGATAAGTCCCTTTAACATTTCATGTAATAAGGGCTGGATGATAATGAACTCCTTTAACTTGACCTTATCTGGCAAGCACTTTGTCTGCGCTCCCATTCTAAATGCTAGCTTTGCTGCATAGAGTCATCTTGGGTGTAGGTCCTTGCCCTTCATGACTCCAACACTTCTTTCCAGCCCCTTCGTGCCTGTAAGGTTCCTTTTGAGAAATCAGCTGATAGTCTAATGGGAACTCCTTCGTAGGTACCTTTTCTCTTGCTGCTTTTAAGATTCTCGCCTTATCTTGAATCTTAGGTAATGTAATTATGATGTGCCTTGGTGTGTGCTTCCTCAGGTCCAACTTCTTTGGGACTCTCTGAGCTTCCTGGACTTCATAAAAGTCTATTTCCTTTGCCAGATTGGGGAAGTTCTCCTTCATTATTTGCTCAAATAAGTTTTCAATTTCTTGCTCGTCTTCTCTCCTTCTGGCACCCCTATGATTCGGATGTTGGAATGTTTAAAGTTGTCCCAGAGGTTCCTAAGCCTCTCCTCAGTTTTTTGAGTTCTTGTTTCTTCATTCTTTTCTGATCGAATGTTTCTTTCTTCCTTCTGTTCTAAACCATTGATTTGAATCCTGGTTTCCTTCTTGTTATTGTTGGTGCCCTGTACATTTTCCTTTATTTCACTTTTCATAGGCTTCATTTTTTCCTCTAATTTGTGATTATATTCAACCAATTCTGTGAGCATCCTGATACCAGTGTTTTGAACTGTTCATCTGATAGGTTGGCTATCTCTTCATCACTTAGTTGTTTTTTTTATGGAGTTTGAACTGTTCTTGAATTTGGGCCATTGTTTTTGTCTCGCTGTGCCTGTTACGTAGTGAGGGGTGGAGCTTTAGGTGTTCACCAGGGCAGGGCAACCAACGTCGCTGTGTTGTGATGCTGTATGTGGGGGAGGGTCTGAGAGGGAACGGTGGTGCTTGCTCCGCCCACTGCTGGTTTTCAGTCACTTCCCCCGCTGCCCACAAGAAAAGTGGGCCCTTCTGGTGCTGATTACCGGGTGGGCGGACTTGTGTACATTCTAGGACCGTGTGGGTCTCTCCAACAAACTTTTCTGTGAGGCTTGAAGTTTCTCCCGCTGCCGCCTCAACACCCCCAGGTGTTTTCAATCAGAGGTTTGAGGCTTTATTTCCCTGCGCTGGGGCCCTGGGTTGTGTGGTCTGTCTCACTCCCTAGTTGTTCCTCCCAGTTTATCCACACACAAATGTGGGACCACCTGGTCCCCCTGCCACCGCCTTGCTGTGCATCCTCTTTGCCCAGCTGCCAGTCTGTGCCCCTGCTGCCGGTCTGGGTGAATGTTTCTTCTTCAACTCCTTGGGTGTCAGACTTCCGTACAATTCAATTTTCTGGCAGTTCTGGTTTTCTGATTTTAAATTTCTTGTCCTTCTTTTGGTTGCGCGAGCAGGCAAAGTATGTCTACCTACACCTCCATCTTGGCCGGAAGTTGGCATTATGTTTCTTATGCTTGATAGAAAACTAAAGCAAGACTCTCTAAATTAATATATCAATACCCTCCAGTCAAAGACCACCAAGAACACATGTGTAGTTGAACAAGTGGGTTTATTACTTTTGCACTGCGGGGCATCTCAGTAAGTGGGTGTTAGGAAGGATTTATAGGTGATTTGGGGGAGGGTTTAAGGAAGCAAGGCTTTTCTCTGAATGGGATGCTGTCAAAAAGTGGAAGCTTTTCTGCAATGGAATAATGTTGACAAATCTTAACTAGACTGAGGCAAGTCACATCTAATCCAAGAGAGAGATGTTTCATCGTTTCTGTGGTCTGGACAATGTTCATGCCTTGGTCCATGTTCACATAATTACAGAGGGATCTTGTTTTTCTCTTGATCCCTCATGTCTGAAATGGTTCATGTTCAGCAGAACACCAGGGCCAGCTCCAGACGTGTGGGGGTGTTTTTCTCAAATCTATAAATTTAATGCAATTTTAATCTTTAAAAAAAAAACTTGCTTTGTAGAGAGGAGAGAGAGGAGGAAAGAGAGAGAGTAACATTGATCGGTTGCCTCTAATCCATGCCCCGACCAGGCCAGAATCTAGGCATGTGCCCCAATCAGGAATCCAACTGGCAACCTTTCCCTTTGCAGGACAAAGCCCAACTGAGCCACACCAGTCTGGGAACAATTTTAAGCTTAATTAACTGTTCAGATTGTTCTATGAGAGAACTTGACAGAACATACCTAAGTTAAGTATCTATACAAATATAAATATTACCCTGCCTGGTGTGGCTCAGTGGATTGAGCGCTGGCCTGCAAATCAAAGAGTTGCAGGGTGGATCCTCAGTCAGGGCACAGGTCTGGGCTGCGGGCCAGGTCCCCAGTAGGGGGTATGTAAGAAGCAACCACACATTGATGTTTCTCCCTCTCTTTCTCCTTCCCTTCCCCTCTCTCTAAAAATAAATAAATACAATATTTAAAAAATACATATAAACATTATAGAAGAGTTAAGAAACCCCCCCAAAAAAAGTATTGTGAAAACTAAGACATAAAAATAAAAGGTTAGTGCTTTTGCCTACACAAGATAAAATTCATATGTGTAATAAAAATCAAATATACACAGGTTTAGAAGACAAACTACAAATTTGGATGAAATATCTTCAATTCATTTGAGACAGTTGATGTCCTGGTAAAATTTTAAAAAGCAAAAGCAAAAAAAAAAACAACTCTTCCTAACAATTAACATAAAAAGTGTACTTTTTTGAACCATTCAACACCTGAAACTAACATACTATTGTTTGTCAACTGTAACTGACAGTATTTTAAGTTAAAATAAAAAATATATACAATTGAAAAATATTTCAAGGGAAAAAAACCCGGGACTTGAACACAGGAAGGCGGTGCTTGCTAAGGAACCTCAAGGAAAAGACTACGCTTCCCAGGAGGCCCTGCGCTGACTGTCCGGGGCGTTCCGACAGGCTTCGCGCCAGATTTGGCCTTAGCCCGCGAGCCTGGGGATTGCAGCGGAGGATGGAGAGCGGCGACGAGGAAGACGTCGAGAAGCGCCGAGTCCACCTACGCCCGGACACTCTACGCAGCGCCACCCCCGCCACGCTGCACCTTCTACCCTGTGACGTCCCGGTTAACCGGTCTGCCCCCGTGGGGAGCTTCTTCACCCCCGCCATCCGTCAGGGTCCCGAAGGTAAGCGCTCGCGTCCGGACTACGGCTCCCGGCAGCCCCTGCGCCAGCAGCGCGCTCTCGTCGGGGAGAGCGGGCGCGACGGCTCCTGGGAATCGTGGTCCACCGGGGGCGGCAGCTCGAGGGCCGCCACTGGGCTGGCCCCGAGGGCCTGGATTAGGTCCTTACTGATGCCCTGCGCCTACTTCCTTCAGGACTCGAAGTGTCGTTTCGGGGCCGCAGCCTGCGGGGAGAGGAGGTGGAGGTGCCGCCCGGCCTCGCGGGATATGTGATGGTGATGGAAGAGAAGAAAGAGGTGTTGGTGGGGAAGCACGGCTTCCCGCAGGGGTCAGACAAGCTGCTGGAGCCCCCGGAGGCGGCCCTGGAGCGGGACTTCGTGAGCACAGGGGCACAGGGTTGGCAGGGGGTGTGGGCGGGAGCAGCGGCGCCGAGGCTGAGCCGCGCCCCTTTCCCAGGACCGTGTTATCAGAGCCTCCGGCAGTTTCAGCCACTTCACCGTGTGGGGCCTGGAGACCGCCCCTGGCCCGGATGCCAAAGTGCGTGCGGCCCTAACCTGGCCCAGCCTCGCCGCAGCGGTGAGTAGATGGACGGGCCTCTTCCTCCCAGGCCCAACTACACCCCCCGCGGCTTCATCTCCTGGGTTGCCCAGAATCTTGCCCGAAAGTGGATCTGAGGCTGTAGAGTTTCAGAGCACAATGGGGCTGTTGGAGCCGGGCTCTGACTGGAAGGTTGGACTGGGGAAGGGCAGTGTGGCTCCCTCTGGCCTGTCTACAAGGGGCTATCATTCGGGGCGGCTGGGTCCCTCTGGGAGCTCGTGGGTCCCCCAGCTGCTCCATCTCAGAATCCAGTCCTAAAGGTGACTCCTCTTGCAGATTCATGCACAGGTGCCGGCGGACTGAGAACTAGAGCTGGAAGCTCAAAGCCACTGATCCCTTCACCCAATAAACCAACTCTTCACTTCTTACCTGCCGATTCCATCACTCTAATAACCAGCTCCTCACCACACCTGTGAGTTTGCCCACACCTTGGAGCCCACAAGGCAGCACTGCCCTTTCCCCTACAAGAACCCTTCACGGCTCTGGCCTCTGGAAACAATTTATTGCCAGGGGGCAGAGGGAAGAGAGGCCAAAATTTTGCAGCCAGTACCCACCCCACCCCCCACTCCTACTTTACAAAAGAAATTTTTACATCCAGCAGCTCTCTGTACAGAGTGCCCCACCCCCATCTCACTGTACACATCTCCCTGGCTCCCTCTGGTCCCTGGTTCACAGCAGGCCTTGGCCTGCAGCCAGCTGACCTCAGAGATGACCTGAGCCCTGAGCTCACTTTGGTGCTGGGCACCATCCGGCCCCTACCAGGCCTGTCCTCTCCTTGTGGAACTGTCCTCAGCCCGGTCCACCTCCCTTAGGTCCCCCTTGGGGACAGGATGGGCTGTCAGCTCCAGTTCTGCGGCTCGTCGGTGCTACCATGGCGGTGCCTGGTCACCACTTCCCCCTCTTGCTCCAGTCCTTGGGGGTGAAGTGCAGACACTTGGAGTCGATGCGGAGGAGTCGCTTGAGCATAGCCCGTTCGTGCCCATCCACGATGTCCTCTGACAGCGTGAGGATGTACTGGCCCTGGCCGGGAGATGGGACAGAGCAGGTCAGCCCTGGCAGGGCGTGCACTCTGCACCCCTGCACGCACCTCTCCACCCCTGCCTGCCCCCCTACCTTGTAGTAGTTGATGAGGTTGAGGTACTGTAGAGTGGAGATAACGTCCTCCTTCTTGATGCTGGTGATTTCACTGATCTCGCTGTGGGAGGGCAAAGAGCAGGTCCCCCGTGGGCCTCCTTCTTTGCCCAGGGTCCACGGGAGCCCCAGGGGGAGACAGCCAGGGAGAAGACCATGCAGCCCCAGGGAGGTGCGGCCAGGCTTACTTGATGGTGATCTGTGGCCTCTCCCCGCTCTCAGACTTCAGCCCCATCAGGATCTCCAGGATGGTCTGGGACCAGTAGCTTCGGTAGGATAGGAGCCCAAGATCCGAGAGGGGCTTCTCAGGGGTCCCCGTTTTCCCTTCCACTTTGGAGAGTTCGTAGCCTAAAGCAATGGAGAGGGAAGGAGGGAAGGGGTGAGCGGCCAGGGCCTCACACACCAGTGCTGCAGAGCACCAGCTGCACAGGCAGATGCGCGCTTCCCGTCCCGGCCCCGCTGCATGGTAGTTCCGTGACCTGGGGTGTGCAGCTCATCTGCTCTGTGCCTTGCTTTCCTCACGAAGGACTCCTGAGTATCCACTCTTCCCCTGTGTGCCAAGCACAGTAGAGGACACCGCATGCACCGAGAGGAGGAGCTACAATCAGCTGGGATGGGGGGCCCTCAGGAGCCCGTGAGCGTTTAGAGGTGCAGCAGGGGCAGCAGAGAAATGGCTCGTGGAAAGAAGGGCTTCCAGTTCCCCCTGTCACCCCGCTCTCTCTCTCTGTGCCTGGGCATGTGAGGAGGGCAGACCCCACCTCTGCTTCAGGCCAGAGATGCGTGGATTCTTACAGCCAGTTAAGGCCCTCTAGCTGTGACCTGAGGGGCGCCAGCAGCTCTAAGACAGACTGGTCAGACTAGGTAGTTGAGGCTGCAAAGAGCACCAAAGCGCTTCCCAAGTCGGAGGGAGACCATCCCTCGGCAGGTGACAGCCCCCCATGCTCTTTCCCTCCCACTCTGACTGCTCCCCTCTCTGCCCCAATGCCCGCTGCAGGCAGTTCCTGGTGAGACCTCAGGCGCTAGGAAACCCTGCATGGCTTCGTGTCTCTCAGGTTGTCTTCACTGTCCCCGCCAGGGCCCTGGGGTGTCTCCACTAGTGGAGACCCTTCCTCACCCTCAGTCAGAACTGCCCCTCGTCATGCCAGAGCCCGTTCTGCTTTCCTCCCTCTGGTGCATCTTTATCAGCCAGTCTTGCCCTCTTGCTCAATCTCACGGCTTCCACCAAGCAACCCCATGAGAAGGACAGAGGCTGGTGCTTGGGAGAGAGGAAGCACGGGGGAGGACGGGGACACACGGGGCCCCGCTTCCTCTTGCTGGGTCTGCAGTGCGTGTAGGCCCCCGAAGGGTCAGTGGGACACCACTTGACCTCCTGGGCGCCTCCCCTAACAACACCCACACGCCCGGTCTGCCAAACTGAGCACACCTCGGCGGCTCTGCCTGCACCCCCTCTCCACTGAGTCTGAGCTCCAAGACTTCATTAGGTATCTGCCTGCTTTACCAGGCTGAGGACCTCCTGAAGATGTGACCCCATCTTGGCGTCGTTCTACCAATAAAATTTCTCAAATGGACTATGACTTTGATCGAGTCACACCTGTGACTCTCCACCAAACAGCTAAGGTTCCCTCCCCGTCTTCTGGTGCAGCACTTGCTTGTGCCAGTGAGTGCTGAGCTGAGCAGAATGGGGGTGGGAGACTGGGGAGCAGAGGGAGCCTTGGAACTGTGAAGAGCTCCTGCAGGATGAGGACACCTATCCGACTGAATGCACGGAACCTGGGCCGTATCTGAGAGTCAGTGCTTACAGCTCTGCTAAGTTAACAGCATTTTTTTTTTTTTGAGAGTACATTTATTAAAACTGGGAACAGTGAGCCCTGGCTGGTGTGGCTCAGTGGACTGAGCGCCAGCCTGCACACCACAGGGTTGCCGGTTCGATTCCCAGTGAGGGCATATACCTGGGTTGTGGGCTAGGTCCCCAGTGGGGCACTCAAGAGGTGACCACACATCGGTGTTTCTCTTCTTCTTCCCCTCTCTAAAACTAAGTAGTAAATAAATCTTATTTAAAAATACCAGGGACAGTGAAACAGTGAAGAGTTCAGGTTAGAAGAAGCAACAAGACAGAGCCTGGGCGGGGCCCCTTTGCCTCACTGGGAAGTCAGAAAAGGGAGCCTTGGGGACAGGTCCAGGGGGTTAGCCCGGGGCGGCTGCCGCCCAGCGCTCCCCTGGTTGCAAACCTCACAGGGACCCTTTGAGTGTAGGCGATGCACGCCTGGGAGGGAAGAGGGGTGTGGGCGCGCCCCGAGAGGGCGACTGCCCCAGGCTCACAGCACGTGAGCGTCCGCCGTCTGCCAGGCTCAGGAACTCCCACGACTGCAGTAGCAGACGGGGGAGCGACGCAGCTCACTTGGCGTTGCCCGTGGGCCCGGGCAGGAGCAGATGAGTCAAGTCTGGGGAAAGCTGGATGGCACTCGGAGCCTCGGCCAAGGCGCAGTGAGGGGCTGAGACCCTGACGCAGACAGGCAGGGCAGCCACCCCGAGAAGGACAGAATCGCAGAAGAGCCCCCGTCGGGACTTCTGGCCTCGGGGACTGGGGCGCAAAGCCAGAGCTGAGGACCACGGCAACCTGGCACCCCTACGTGAGGCGCCCGCGGGAGCCTCCGGCCGGGAGCCTAAGTACTCACTGAATTCGATCAGCAGCTTGCCGTAGCCCCGACGCTGGTAGGGAGGCAGGGTCAGGATGCAGGCCACATTGTAGTCTTCCGTGGACTCCTTTTCCTGCAGAAGGGGGGCCAGTGAGTGGGAGGGAAGGGGCCGGGCCCAGCGCAGGGCCGAGAGCCGGGCCAGGCCCGCATACACGCACCTTGGAGAAGTAGCCCACGATGTGGAAGCCCTTGCAGTCATACTCTGTCATGACGTAGAAGAGGAAAGGGTCTGTGTCGTAGTATAGCGTCTTGTGGTCGAGGAAACACTTGGCCAGAAGGCACAGGTTCTGGGAGTAACTCTGCAAAGGGAAGGCCCGTCACCACCCTGGGCCCCCTGCCTCAAGCAGGCCAGTGAGCCAGGGTCAACCAGGAGTACCCCAACCTTTGTACCCCAGGCCGAGAGGTGATGCGCATTCTTCCCCGAGGCCTGACCTAGTCCATCAGTCAGGTCGTCCCCAGGCTGGGCTGCCTCACAGTGTCCTGTGGCCCTTGGACCTGCCCTGGGGCCCCGCCGGTGTCCTCCGCTGTAGTTAACGACGGTCATGACGTGTCCCCCAGACTGGCCAAAGCTGATGAGTCAGCTCTGCCTGTGACAGTCTGGGGAGCCCAGCTGTCAGAAGACACAACTTCTCTGCCTGCAGTCACACCCCCTGGGAACTGATCTGGAGTCTACAACTGAGTAAGGGGTTCTGGAGTTTACAAAAATAACCACCCTAGGAGCTCCCCATCCCCCAAAAACCTTGTTAATCTTGTTATTCTTACCCCTGCACAGAATTTATTCTGCATTTCAGACATGACTTTTTAAATTGTTTTGAAAAGATTTTATTTATTTGCCCTGGCTGGTGTGCTTCAGTGGACTGAACACCAGCCTGCGAACTTAAAAGTTGCCAGTTCGATTCCCAGTCAGGGCACGTGCCTGGGTTGAGGTCTGGGTTCTGACTGGGGGCATGTAGAGGCAACTCATCGTTTACCTCCCTTTATCACTCCCCTCCAACTAAAAATCAAATTTTTTTTAAAGATTTTATTTACTTGTTTTTAGAGAGGGAAGAGAGGAAGATTGAGAGAGAGAGAGAAACATCAATGTGCGGTTGCTGGGGGTTATGGCCTGCAACCCAGGCATGTACCCTGGCTGGGAATCGAATAAAAATCAATTTTAAAAAACACTTTTTAGAGTGAGGGTAAGGGAGAGAAACATCAAAGTGTGAGAGAAACATTGACTGGCTGCTCCTCACATGCCCCTAACTAGCAACCTGATCTGCAACCAAGGCATGTTCCCTGACTGGGAATCGAACCAGTGACCCTTTATTCTGCAGGCCAGCTCAGTCAGACATGACCTTTTAGCTACCTGCCAGGCACTGCTATCTGCGTGCCCAAGTCCACACGTAATGCAGAGCAGTGGCTAAAGCAGCATCTTCCTCTCCAGCTCCCCCGGCACCCAAGCATGAGCGTTCCCTCCCACCCTCTAGGCCCCAGGAATGGCCGAGTCTCTTTCTCAAAGATCCCTCCAGGTTACTCCTTCCTCCCCACAGCCACAGACTAAAGCAGATTTGTTGTTTTTAAGGTTGTATTTATTTATTTTTAGAGGGGGAGGGCAGGGAAGGGAAAAGGAGAGAAACATCAATGTGTGGTTGCCTGTCGCCCCCAACTGGGGACCTGGCCCATAATCCAGGCATGTGCCCTGACTGGGAATCGAACCAGTGACCATTTGGTTCGCAGGCCAGAAAATCCACTGAGCCACACCAGCCAGAGCAGACTAAAGCAGGTTTTGAAGTCCCAAACTTGGGGTGTCCCTAACTCCCCAGGTGACCTTATTTGCACCACCTGAGCCCTGTCCCTCGCAATAGCCTCCCCTCATCCTCTCTGCCCTTCGGCCAGAGGAGTCTTTGCCTTCGACACCCACGACCTCAGTGCAGCCGTGCCTGCCCTTCAGAACCCCACTGCTGGGAGTCCCTTCCCCGCCTTGTCCTTTGTATCAAGGCTCAGCAGGAGTCACCTCCTCTGTGAAGCTTTGCTGACCGCCTCCTCTGTGCCCTAATAACCCACTTCATGAAAGTCACGCTCCATGACACTCATCACACCAGGATCTAAGTGTCCACTGGTGCGTCTCCCTTCCCCACGGCCCGAGCTCTCCAAGCGCGGAGGTGGGATCTGACCCTGGCCGCGTCTCCCCGCAGCTGCCCTTCAGCGGAACTCAGTAAAAAGGGAGGATGCCGGCTTGTGGGCCAGGCCAGTCGGAGTCTTCCTGAGCGAGAAGCTATTCACTGGACCTCCCCACACTGCAGGTTCTGAGGTGTCCCCACTGTCCCTCGGCCACTGACCTTATTCTTACGCCCGTCAATCTCGAAGAAGGAGATGGTGCCCTTGCGGTAGATCTCGTTGCCTGGTGGGTGTCGCAGGTCGCACTTGGTCTGAGGAAGAGAGGAGGGTCAGGGTGGGAGAGGGACTGGGGTGCTAGTAGGGCAGCACCTGGGACCCCTCATACCAAGTGACGCTGCAGACACTTGAGGCTGCGGCCGTACTTGAGGCAGAACTCGCAGAGATAGAGGACTGGCAACGTGGTGAGCTCCTGCGGGTACGGAGAGAAGTACCACGGCTTGAGGCGGTGCCGGCCCAGCTCAATGCACTCGATGTTCTTCATCCGGGTGACGATGTCGTCGTGGCTCCGGTCAGACACCAGGCTCCCAGTCATGCGCGGAGCTGATGGTATCCCATCTGAGCTGTCCTGGGAGTCCTGCCCAGGACCAGCAGAGGGTACCGGTCACAGGAGACTACAGCTCACACAGCCTCCCCTGCCACAGGTTCCCTTGCTCCAGCCTAACAGCAACCCTATGAGGGAGGTACTATAACCCCCACTCTGCAGATAAAGAGACCAAGACTTAGGAAGTTTTCATCCAAAACTTGGGAAGGATCACCCACTGACTGACCTAAACCAGCTCTGCTTAGCTCCTGAGCCCACCACCACCGCCACAGCTGCCCACCACCTGCTGGTCCTTTTTAAACTAGCCACAAAAAACTCCAACCCATCTACATCCTCTGCTTTTCACTCAGCTTCCCTCTACCCCAGACCTACCTCGTCAGTGCCCAAGCAGTTTGACTTTCGCTTCCGTCCTGGCTGAGCGGCCACGGCCCGTCGGGCTGACCCATTCTGTAGGTGAGGCGGTAGGAACAGAAGAGGCGGCTTTTAGGCGAGTCTGAGAGGGGCTACCGGAGGGGAGAAGACAGGAAGGGAAGAACGGTGGTCTGGAGGACTCACCTGAGGGAACACTGAGGCCGGGGCGGTCTCGCTGGGCACCGGAGTTGCTGGTGAAACCACCTCCACCTTCCGTTTCTGCAGAAAGAAACCAAGAAAGGTGGGTCAGAGGGTAGAGAACGTGGGACCTGAGAGGAAAGCAAGGTCCCTGGAATTGCTGAGGGTACCGTTGAGCGGTGGTTGGGCTGCAGGCAGGAGCTGGAGGAGAGCGGCTGGTCGGGCTCACCGCCGGGAATGGCCTCCCGCTCCTTAGGCAGGTTGAAGCGGAGTGTGATCTGGACCGGGATTGGCAAGGTCTTCCCGCTGGCCTGGGTGGAGGCCGGCTGTAGAGATAGGTCCAGGGTCTTCCTCTGGGGTGGGGATGGTGGCGGGATGGGAAAGGGGAGTAGGAGCCCCTTAGCGTGGTGTCATCAAACCCCACCCTCTCAAGGACATGGGAATAGCTGCTGGATTCTGGAAGCTACATCTGCAACCTGGTCCCCATCCTTTGCAAGCTAAAGGCAGGGTAGGAAAGTGCTGCCACAAACCCATCCAGGTGCCACTGAGACCAAGAGGTGACAGAAGTAGGAGGCAAGAAAGAAGAGGTGAAGTAGGGGACCTACTCACCACCTCTCTCTCTGGAGAGCCGGGGCGGGACCCAGGAAGTCCGTTCTTCGTAGGGGTCTTGGCCTCTTTTTTTGGGAATTGGATCTTCTTCAGGTCCAGCCGTTCATGGGTCACCCATTCATCCAAGCGTTTGTTGACTGCAGCAGTGAGGATGGCTCAGGAAGGAATGCCAGAGGCCGCCCCCCCACTCCCATCCTACCCCGCGGCCCCTCCTCACCCTAGCCCAGCACTCACAATCAATGTAATGAACGTAGAAAAGCTTCCGCCCACTGATGTCCTTCACGCTCAGGATCTCGGCCAAGGCTGTGGGAACAGCATAGGGGCATTAGGAGGGTCAGACCACGAGGCTCCACCCTCCTACGACACGAACTCCACTTCCAGGCCAGATTCCTACGCCCCAGCACTTAGAAGGTCTCCTCCAAAGCCCCTTCAGTCACCAAGTGCCGCCCCCTCTCCAAGCCCCGCCCTGTCCATCTCGAAGCGGCAACAAGCCACGCCCCTCTCGTGTATCTGCGACCCGCCCGCCCCAGAATTCTTGAGGCCCCTCCCCCTCCCGGGGATTCGGTTGACTCCCGCCCCTCGCCCTCTGGTTCCTTAGCCCCGCCCCCCGACGTCACTCACGCCACTCATCTTCGTTGTCCTGGTTTCGCCGCAGCACTGGCAGGCGGCAGCCTTCGATAATCTCCCCCTGGGGAGACAGCGCGGCGCCAGGGTCGGCTACTGGGGGTCCTCGGGCTCTACCCACCTCCCCTGGCTCCCTCCGCCCCGCCCCGGGCACCGGACTCACCACCTCCGCCATCTTCCCTCCCTCCACTGCCACTTCCGGCCCCTCTGGGAAACGTCACTTCCGGGACTGAGCACGCTCTAGGCCCGGGCTTCCAGACACCTGTGTACACGACGACCCTTGAAAGACGCCAACGACCAACTGGAGGCGGAAGGCCGGCTCTTTTGGCTGGCCAGTGAATGGGGTGTTTTATGCCTGGGGCCGGGTCCTGGGTGGAATCCCCACAACGTGCCCAATGATTGGGGGGAAAGCTTAGTCTGTCACGTGACGCTCACCGGTGCGACGCCGGTCACGTGGGTGCAGGGCGGCTCGCTAGGTACTAGTGTTTGGGCTTTGAGGATGGCGGGACTCCGTCGTCCTCTAGCGGCCGTGGGAGATGTCGCTGGGAGTTATCTACCAGCGCTTGTTGGTAGGGGGCGGATCTGGAAGGTTTGGGAGGCTGGAGAAGTGGGTGGGACTGTGAAGGAAGTTCAAGGTCTGATCCAGTGTGTGGATTTCATTCCTTGCATAAAGGGGACTTACGGAATCTTTCTGGGTTGTTGTTTTGTATATTAAGTTTCCAGTTTAAAAAATAACACATTATTCATTCAGACATCCAACAAATTAATCTCTATGTGTCAGGCACTATTCTAGGAGCCTGCAATACATCAGTGAATAAAGAACCTTGCCCTCATAGAGCTTACATTCTTGGGGGTTAGGAGGAAAAAGAAGGGTTTATGTAACAAACAGTAAATATATGTAAAAGTAAATTATTTAGTTTATTAAAGACTGATAATGTTTGGGGAACGGAAAAGAACGAACAAGATAAAGGAGCTGGGCAGGCAGGTTGTGATTTCATGTGGGGTGCCCAGGGCAGGCCTGGCTGGAAGGGTATTACTTTAGCGAAGGTTTAGAGGGGGAAGGGCAGGGCCATGCAGATACTTGGAGGAGAAAGTGTTTCAGAACACAGACCACAATAACGAGGAGAAAAATCTAGTTTCAGATGATTTGAGGGGATGTTTCCACCATGACCGTTTTGGTTGAGTACCTGGTAGAGCAGGGTGGACAGTCTATGGCCAGCTGTCCAGATGCAACCCTCTGCTGGTTTTACTGCAGCCAGTGAGCTAAGAATGGTGTGGGTTTTTATTGCATTTTTTTTTTTTTGGCCATCACTGGTGTTTATATATTTTAACGGTTAGGAAAACAAAAGGATATTTCATGACACGTTAAAATTATGAAATTCAAATTTCAGTGTTCACAGAGAGTTTTATTGGAGTGTAACCACACTGATTCACTTACATTTTAGACTATCATTTCTTCCACATTAAAACTTTATCATTATGTCTGAAATATAAATCTGTAGCCCCTAATGCCTAAAACCTTTACTATATGGCCCTTTACAGAAAATGTTGCCACCTCCTACTTTGTAAACTCCTGTGCTGTGTCAAATACAAAATGGGTTCTTCCTGTGCGTGCTGTTGTGTGACCAGAGTGTTTCCTGAGCCACACAAAGTGAACACTTGTCACTGAGTATTCCACAGCGCCATTTTGATGGCTCCATACCATTTTGTTTAGCTGCACCTTAGCTGCCACAGCCAATTGCCCTATCAAATATTCAAGTTATTTATCATTTTCCTCTATTACAAACAGTGCCAGAAAGAGTATCCTTACATACACACCTTTTCATGTATTCAGTCCAGCATGATTTCCATTGAAGATGCAAGTGGAGGATGATTATATCTGTATCTTAGAAAGATTATGTGGTAACAGTGTCTTTGGACTGAAGGACATAAATCCAGGATATAACCTATCAGAAGGCTGCTGAAATCGGCCATTCATTGATAACAGTCAATAAATGTTTATCCGGAGCCTGCTATGTATTGCAATTAGCACAGTTTTCATCCCTGCCTCCTTGCAATCTGCAAGCTAGAGATCCAGGAAAGATGGTGGTCTAGTTCAATTCCAAATACAAAGGCCTGAGAACCAGGAGAACTGATGGTTTAAGTTCTAGTCCAAGACGGAAGGCCTGAGAACTAGAAGAGCCAGTGGAAGTTCCAGACCCAGGACAGAAGAAGGCTCTTAGAGTCAGACAGCAACTTCTCCTCCTCCTCTGCCTGTTTGTCTCTAGTCCATCCTCCAGCAGATGGAATGATGCCCACCCACAGTGGGGAGGGCTGTCTTCTTCACTGGTCTACCAGTTCCAGTGCAAAGATACAGAAACAGCCCTGGCTGGCATGGCTCAGTGGATTGAGTGCGGGCTGCAAACCAAAGTGTCGCAGGTTTGATTCCCAGTCAGGGTACATGCCTGGGTTGCAGACCATGACCCCCAGCAACTACACATTGCTGTCTCTCTCTCTCTCTCTTTCTCCCTCTTCCCCCTCTAAAAATAAATAAATAAATAATCTAAAGAAAACATACACTGGGAGAAATTAAAAACAAAAAAGATACAGAAACATCCTCACGGACATATCTCCAGAAATAACAATGTATAATCAAATATCTTGGCACCCTGAGACCCTGTCATGGTGACACATAAAATTAACCATCACAGATTGTATATGCATTTGGTAAAATTACATATGAGCTATATGTCTAAAAATATTTTATCCTAGACAAGAAAAAGCTAAAAGAGTTTCTCACCACCAAGCCAGCAATAGGAACCAGATAAAGGAACTATTCTAAGAAGAAGAAGAAAACATAAAAAATATGAATAATAAAATGGCAATAAGTATATACCTATCAAAATTACTTAAAATGTAAATGGCTTAAATGCTACAAGACATAGGGTGGTTGAATAGATAAGAAAACATGACCCATACGTATGCTGCCTACAAGAAACCCACTTCAGACTGGCAGACATACACAGACTAAAAGTAAAGGGATGAAAAAAGATATTTCATGCAAATGGAAATGAAAAAAACAATAACTGTGGTAGCAATACATCTATTAGACAAAATAGACTTTAAACAAAGACTATAGATAACAAGAGACGAAGAAGGACCCAGCAATTCCACTTCTGAGTATTTATCTGAAGAAACCCGAAACACTAATTTGAAAAGACATGCATCTTGCCCTGGCTGGTGTAGCTCAGTGGATTGAGTGTGGGCTGTGAACCAAAGTATCGCAGGTTCGATTCCCAGCCAGGGCACATGCCTGGGTTGCAGGCCATGACCCACAGGACCGCACATTGATGTTTCTCTCTCTCTCTTTCTCCCTCCCTTCCCCCTCTAAAAATAAATAAATAAATCTTAAAAAAAAAAAGACATGCATCTTTCTATGTTCATCGAAGCAGTATTTATAATGGCCAAGGTACGGAGACAACCTAAATGTTCATTGATGGATAAAGAGGAGGTGGCACATATATGCAATGGAATATTACTCAGCCCTGAAAAAGAACAAAATGTTGCCATGTACAACAACATGGATGGGCTTAGACGGTAAATATCAGAAAGAGGTTTACCATGTGCTTTCATGTATGTGCAGATTCTAGAGAACAAAATAAATGAACAGCCCTTGCTGGTGTGGCTCAGCGGATTAGTGCCAGCCTGAGGACCTAAAGGTGCCAGTTCAGTCCCCATTCAGGGAGCATGCCAGGGTTGTGGGCCAGGTCCCTAGCTGGGGGGCGGGTGCGAGAGGCAACCAAATGATGTATCTCTTGCACATTGACATTTGTCTCCCTTTTTCTGTCCTTCCCTTCCCTCTCCCTAAAAATAAATAAAATCTTTAAAAACAAATGAACAAAGAAAACATAAACAAACTGGTAGATATAGAGAACAAGTTGATGGTTGCTAGATGGGAGGGGGTTGGGAGGGGTGGCAAAGAGTTGAACGGATTAAGATGTGCAAATTTCAAATGATAAAAAGTCAGAGAAATGTAAGGTATAGCACGGGGGATACAGTCAATAACATTGTAATAACTGTGTGGTGTCAGATGGGTACTATACTTATCAGGGCAGATGAAGTCATAAGTTATATATGTGTGTATTCACTATCCTGTATACCTGAAACTAATGTATATTGTATGGTGACTGTATTTGAAAAATTCAAAAGTATTTTAAAAATAAAATTAGATGTTAGTGTCGCAGGTTCGATTCTCAGTCAGGGCACATGCCTGGGTTGCAGGCCATGACCCCCAGCAACCACACATTGATGTTTCTCTCTCTCTCTTTCTCCCTTCCCTCTCTAAAAATAAATAAATAAAATCTTTAAAAAAATAAAAAAATTAAATTAGATGTTAAAATTTTTAAATTAACTTGTTTAGCTAAAAAAAACCCCACAACCCTGTTGATTATACATATATAATTTTAATGGCATAGGGGAGAGACTGAGGAGCAGCAGCCTTGGCTCTGCCTTACCCCGTGGTCCTGGGCCTCGGCAAGGGCTCCAGGGCGGCCAAGGGCATGAGGAAACCACGGCACAGCCCCACCGCCCCAAGCATCTCACCCAGCACACCGAGTTTGTGCGGGACACGGTCCTCCGAGAGGCGCGTGGCTTTGTTCCCTGTCGGGCGCGCCATGGAGCTGCGCCGGGTCTCTACGGACAGGAGGGCCCTGGAGTTGGTCAAGAAAAGGGTGGGGACACGCGTCCCAGCCAAGAGGAAGACGGAGGAGCTGAGCGGGGTCCCTGCAGCGGTGAGGAAGGCAGCAGCCAAGGGCTGAGCCCCATCCCCTCTGTGTGTAATAAGACCTGTCCAGAAATAAATAAAAACAGACTTAGAGGAGAACTGACACCTCCGTGCTGCTGAGTTCTCCTTTGTATTTGTTCGTGTATCGTGTGTGTGTGTGTGTGTGTGTGTGCACGTTTCTCAGGAGCATTTTGAAATTTTCTTTCTGTAAATCTTGAGCTTTACTTCTTAAGTTTAATCCTAGTAATGCCTTACTTCTTTGTCATTGCTCCTGTAAAAAGATCCTTTTCCTCCATTATACCTTCTAATTGTTTTTTTTTTTTGAAATGTGAAGGCTTTCAATTTCTGAGTACAAATTTTGTTACCCAGCCACATTCCTTAGTTATCTTACTGTTTTTTAGTTTATTTTCTTGAGTTTCCCAGGTAAACAAAAATTATCTGGCCCTGGCTGGCGTAGCTCAGTGGATTGAGCTCGGGCTGCGAACCAAAGCATCGCAGGTTCAATTCC